AGCTCGAGCCTTTAAATAATTGATCTTGTTTTCTATGGTGGTGTTGTTGACGGCCTTTCGATACGCTGCCTTCTTTTTCTTTACTGCGTCCTCACATTCCTCAGAGAACCAGATCTTGTTCTTCCGGGGTTTTGTTTTTGTTTTTGGTATGTGATTGTGGCATATTTCTAAAAGCTTTTCGTGGAATTTATTTTAGTTGTGGTCGAAATTGGGATTAAGAATCTGGGAACATTGATTGGCAAACCCGTCCCAGTCTGCTTTTTTGAAGTTGAAGCGTTCTGGGATCGGGTCGTTTTGGAGGCTATTGTTTTTTAAGAGAATTGGGAAATGGTCCGTACGGTCATCCAGCACAGACCACTCAAGATCTGGGACTAGGTCAGGGGTACAAAAAGTGAGGTCAAGGGATGAAGTGCCATACGTGGCTCTGTTTCAGTAAGTTGGGGATTTATCGTTTAAGAGACAGATGTTATTTTGAAATAAAAAGTTTTCTATTATTTTACCTTTCTGGTCTATAGGTTTGTCTCCCCAAAGAGGGCTGTGGGCATTGAAATCACCTAGTAAAATAAAGGATTTTGGGAGCTGAGACTTTAAGTCATTTAGTTGGGTTATTTTGAGGGGGTAATTTGGTGGGATGTAAACCGAGCAGATCGTGATTGGTCTGTGCAGGGTGACCCGTACGGCAATAGCCTGGAGGGTCGTCTTAAGATGTACTTGTCTGTGGAGTGTGTGGTTGTCGGTGTAAATGGTGGTACCACCGGAAGCAATCTGGTTCTCCGTGTGAATGTGATGGTACGCAGTAAATCCTCTTAAGTCTATGGTTGAAGCCGGGGCGAATTTTTTTTCTCGAATACAGGCCACCCGTGGGCACAGTGTGGCCTGTAAATTTTTTTCAATTCTGCAATGGAAGGTCGGATTCCGCCGGCATTCCATTGCAGGACCGCCATTATGAATTTTTACTTTTTAATTTGGAGCTCAAAGGCTCCGGCTTCGAAGAAGCACTCTGACTTCTCCTTACGGGGGAGGCAGAGTGTTTTCTAGGTTGCCGTCCTGGATTGGACGGCGGTCTAGTGGGGGATTTGGAGGAGTGACAGACTCCGCCCTTCCCTGGGTCAGGCCGGGGAGGGGGGTCGGAGATGTCATCCTCCGTTGGTAGTGGGGGGAATGGAGGGGTAGGGGGAGGTGGAGCAGACAGAGGGAGCTGGGGAGAGGGGAGAGGGAGTACCTTAATCTCCATCAGAGAGATGGGTGGTGAGGTGGAAGAAGAAGAATTAGAAGAAGAACATGAAGAACACGAAGAACACGAAGATGAAGATCAAGAAGACCAATAAGAAGAAGATTTTAAGAAGAAGAAGAAGAAGAAGAAGAAGAAGAAGAAGAAGAAGAAGAAGAAGAAGAAGAAGAAGAAGAAGAAGAAGAAGAGGAGGAAGAAGAAGTAATAGAGGAGGGGTGAGGGGGAGAAGGGGGGGAGGTAGAGTCCACCCCATCCTCCCCAAGAACCCCAAAGCGGTTAGTTAGTGATACCTGGAAGGTGGGTACCACAGTTTTAGGTGGAACCTTTTTGTGTTTCGCAGTAAGTTTCTTGTTGACCGCGGGTTCTGGGGGGTCGACAGTGGAAGCACTGGTCGACTTCGTGACTGGCCGGAGTACGCTTGCGTATGACCGGCCAGGGACCGGGGTCATACCTGGCGGGCAGACAGCTTTTCGGGCTTCTTGAAAAGAGCAGCCATTTCGTCCTTTATACTCTCGGATTGCGCGTTCTTGAATCCAAGTCGGGCAATCCTTGCTGAAGGCTGTGTGCTGGCCTTGGCAATTTGGGCAGCAAGGACTAGCCTTGCATTCCTTTTCAGGATGCCCAGTCTTGCCGCAGCGAGGACACACGGCTGCACGTCGGCATCGCGACTGACTATGGCCAAACTTCTGACACTGAAAGCAGCGTAGAAGGTTCGGCACATAGGGTCGCACGTCCAAGACCAAGTATGATGCCCGAACGGTGGCTGGAGGGCGGCACGAATCAAAAGTTAGAATTATTGTGTTCGTTTCTAGCGTGGACTCCCCCCGCCGAATAGTAATTGGGCGGGCTTCGACCACACCCTCACAGTTATCCACAATATCTTGGATGGAGCAGCCCTTCAGCTCATGGCTGCGGACCACGCCCTTCGACTGGTTAAATTTCTGGTGTCGCTCGGAAACACAAGGAACACCACCGAAGGTCGTTATCTTTTCAAGTCCGGCCAGTTCTTTATCCGTTGCACACTTGATGAGGAGAGCACCAGAGGACAGTTTCTGGACATTCGTAGGAAGGTATCCCAGAACCTGTCTTAGAGCATCTCCTATCTTGAATACATTTAGATCAGTGACCTTTTTCTGTGCATCGGTGCTGCGGATGGTCAAGTACGGCTGCCGCGGAAGCTCCCTGAGAGGGGGGAGGGCAGAGGCAGTCGTAAAGGTCCTTTTTCCTTTAGTAGTAGTTTGTTTGCTCGGCTCGGCGGCCGCACCCGCTTCCGCGAGCCGAGACTTTTTTTTATAACGTTGGGAGTTGGGGAAGGGTTTGTAGTAGTAGAGGAATCCATGTGAGTTTTTTGGTGGTTCAACTCCGGGGCTCCCCGCCCGCCATCGAGCCCAACAAGGGGACACATTGCTCGGATGACCAGAGCTGTGCCAGGGCTGCCCCGGAGCTATACTCTCCACGAGAGTGCATAAAACCCTCCCGTCAAGATTGACCCAGGGCTTCATGTTGTTTCAACTCCCAACCGATTGAGTGGCATGGGCCGTGCCACCCTCCCGTCTAAGAAGAAAACCTGGGCCAAAGAGGTGTATTGGCGAGGGACAGTCCGTTGACTGATCTCACTTCAACCGCCAGGTGCCCGGTTTCCCTCCGCACGGGTCGCGCCTCATGGTCAACGAGGCGCCCACTCTGTGGGATGGGTGACCTCTCTTTTTACTGCACTTGAGGTCAGCGGTGGAAGAAAAGATAGAAGAAGAAAGAAAGAAGGAAGGAGAAGAGGAAGATACACCAAAGTGAGTGTCGCACACGAATCCCAGAGGGTTGGGTCTGTGTGCGACACTTCGCCTTTGAGGGGGTTGCACCTTCTGCAGACGAAGCAGTGGGTCTATTTATATCCCCCCGACCCACTGGGGGTGAGACCAGATATTTTTCGGCTGGCGAACTGAAGGCCTGACGACGAGAAAGCGGCTTCTTTGATTTTGGGCGGAGTTGAAAATGCGTTCCAACATTTTCCTAAATGTTTGCCCCCCTAAAAAAAATAAAAATAAAAATAAAAAAAAATAAAAAATGAAATTTCCGTTATCAGCGACCAAAAATTAGTAAAAATAACGCTGGGAACACAATTTAATACTACATTACCAAGTTAAATTCTTTTTGTGTGACTGACACTTTAAGGATAAAAAAACTGCACGTCTAAGGAACTTCTCTCGTCGACAAACTGTCAGTTTAACGAAGACACAGATCTAGCGTCTGTCGGTTGAACTGTCAGTTAATTGTCGATGAATGAACTGCACGTGTAATGTTCTTTTATATCTGGGTCATTGTTGAACTAAAAGTTTGTCGACGACAGAACTTTCTTTATCCTTAAAGTGTCAGTCCTGACAAAACACACAATACACTCACACACAAGAAATTAACTTGATAATCCGGCCTTAAATTGTGTTCCCTGCGTTCGCGTGCACACAACAAAATACATGTTATACATGAAGTCATTATGTGTTTACAAACTATAGCTCTTACAGTTAGATGTCATAAAAGCGATGGACCTCACCCGGATGTCAACCACTTTTGTGTCCCAATTTGTTCTTCCTGGTCGAATGGTTGAGTGTTATTGTGCTGATAACTTTTAATTTGCTAAAGAAGGTATAATCTAGGTATTTGACTTGACATGGTTGAGTGTTATTGTGCTGATAACTTTTAATTTGCTAAAGAAGGTATAATCTAGGTATTTGACTTGACATGGTTGAGTGTTATTGTGCTGATAACTTTTAATTTGCTAAAGAAGGTATAATCTAGGTATTTGACTTGACATGGTTGAGTGTTATTGTGCTGATAACTTTTAATTTGCTAAAGAAGGTATAATCTAGGTATTTGACTTGACATGGTTGAGTGTTATTGTGCTGATAACTTTTAATTTGCTAAAGAAGGTATAATCTAGGTATTTGACTTGACATGGTTGAGGGCTTTGGCGTGCCAGGCTGAAGACATTAACAATATTATAGTTGGCATGTATCTGTATAAGAGCATTTCTGAGGGATCTTTTCTATGTACTCGTAAATTACTCTCTAGGGACACCTCTAATCTTCGGTACGTATATGACCTAATAGCGTTGTAAAAGCCGTAAAAAGAGGCAAAGATAAATACAGAGACAGAAACGGAAGCGAAAAGCGTAAAAGAAAAGAGTAAAGAATCTTTGATAAAAGGGTTGGAGATTACATAGGTACATTTTTTTTAAAATGATTTTTTTGTTTTTACGTTATTTTATCCAAGGTGTGTGTGGGGGGGGGGGGGGGGCAGGTCGCAGGATTATTCGTTAGTTTTAATAGAGGTTTTACGGAACTCGCAACTGCATAAGGTCATTTGAGCGCCAGAAGATTAGAGGTGTTACAAGAGAGTAACAAACTTAAACAAGAAGAAGGGGAGATAAAGACGATAGATGTTTGATAGGAAAGAAAAAGCAAACCACACCAGAGCACCCGCCAACCGCCCAGGAAGGATGATTAAATAATAAAGAAAAAACACACATGTAAAGAAGCGTAAATAACGCTTTTTGCATTTTAAAAATTAATCTTTTGCATGATGGATGGATGGATGGATGGATGGATGGATGGATGGATGGATGGATGGATGGATGGATGGATGGATGGATGGATGGATGGATGCATGGGGTTAATCGCCGAATGGAATTTTGTTTCAACAAACTGACAAAGGAAAGGATAGAAAAATAGACAGCTCCTAAAGCTAAAGGTAAACATCGCTATAGAGATCTACTCACGTTTCAAAAAGTCGTCTGTCTGTTTGTCAAAGATGTGGGCTAGATGTCCATTAGTATTGTTCTGTGGTCCGCCCTTCAATTGTCTGCAAAATACTGCAGCCCGACTGAAGCTCTTTTCGGTAGAAAATATTTTGAAGCAAGAGTTTCTCCCGGAGTAGTGGGTCCAGCCACTGGGGCATTGCGCTGACGCTGAAACCACAGAGTGATAACAATAATAACAACAACAATAACAATAGCAACACAAATAATAATAATAATAATAATAATAATAATAATAATAATAATAATAATAATAATATAACGTTAATAAACGCAATGATGATCATAACAATAACAATAATAACAACAACAATAATAATAATAATAATAATAATAATAATAATAATAATAATAATAATAATAATAATAATGATAATAATGATGGCGATGATGACGATGCTGATGATGATGATGATGATTTTTTGTTTTGTTTCCTTAATGGGCCTGGTGGACTCCATGAAGAAATCTTCGAGCGAGAGCGAGGCTCCTTTTCGGCTCCATTGTCAATATACTTAGAGGCACCTCCATTCGAATTGCCATTGTTCCTGGACATTCAAACATATGTTTGGCATCCTCCTTTTCATGGCCGCAACTTCGGTAACGTAGGCTGAGCTCTTCATTTCATCATCATCCAGTGCCTTGCCGACTGGCGTGGGCGATCATGGACCTCCACTTCCACCTGTCTTTCGATGCAGCAATGGTGTCTGTTGTTCTTACTGCA